CTGCAAGACATGCAACACTGCAAAATAGCTAAAAGCTTCGCTAACTCCAGAATATTTTTTTAAATTTTTTTTGTAATGCTGATAAGAGATGGATAGGTTTTTCTCTCGCCAGGTAATTGGGTTTCTGACATCCCTGAACCTGCTGTGCCCTTTGTTCACTCTCCAACAAGGAAACCACTGAGCATCGTGTAGATGTATCTGCTACCTGACCATGCAAGCCGGCTGAGTCCCATCTGTGCTGCTGTGCTGTCTTAATCAGTTTCCAAAATACAGAAAACAAGTGTTGTTAGAAGAAAAGTTGGAGACCTGCTTCTCTCTCCCTGAATGATGAAGGTACCTCTTTCCCACACCTCTCTAGAAAATCTTGATTGTATTATGTCTTCCTATGTAAAACAATTGGTCCTTAGGCCAAAATATTCCCAGTCAGGACAATTTCTCATTTTTAGAAGTTTATTTCTCTGGTTGTTTTTGGGATGTGGCTTTTCAAGGCTGGATGTGTGCAACAGTCTCTGTTTTGTAAGAGGACTGAGAAGTAAAATACTGCCAGTCATGAGTGTATCTGTCTTGAACAAATCAGAAATAAAGTTTGGTTTTTCCCCTGAGGAAAATAGTTTACTGGGGTCTTTAGACTTTTCATCAGGATTTCTGAAATTCACTTCCAATTTAAAAATGTTTTCGTGTTTGGTTTTTTTTTTTTTTTTTTGCTTTGAATGATGGCGTCCCAAACTGTGGAATGGGGTAATTAGGAACGGGTATTTGTGTGTGCCCTCTATTAAGCAGGATGAGACTTGTTCAGCTGCATGATGTAGGCTTGAGACCACGAACACTGGAATGACATTTTCCTCTCGCCGGAGCTGGGTTTCTGTTGAAATGTGTTTTTGTTTTCCCCTACCCTGTCTGGAGAAACTGGGACTTGTGTGCTCTCTAAGTAGCACAAAACTGAGAGCATCTATTTGTATCCACTTAAAAGCCCCATCACTTGTTTACAAGTTCTTAAACCTAAAAGAACCATAAAAACTGACTGTACTTAGCACTGTTGTTTACTCAGCTTTCTACCTGGCTAGGGGACAGTGAAAACAGGCCTGGCAGTTTCACTTCTGTTTACAGTTTCTAATAGTTTTCTCTTTCATGTTATCACCCCCTCACATAATGCTATACTGAAATAAACTACAAACATACCTGTATGCTAATTAAAACCAAAATTTTCCGGATAACTCATCTAAATAACTTACCACCTGGGCTGCAAACTGGTTTCAAAATTAAAAATAAATTAAGAAAAAAAAAAAGAAAGCAATTGCTTGTATTTTATATGGGGTTTTGTAAAAGTCTTTTTCAGGTGTAGTTTGAGCCACACTTGACCTCTGGTTTTTCCTTTGAAACAGGGAGCTGAAGTCACTGGAGCCTGCAGAGTTCTGCCCGGGTGTATGTGAAAGGCAAGAGCAAGCGCATGCAGCCAGCAGAGTCCAAGTCCGTAGCAGCTTGTCATGAATCCAAAAGGCTGAGCGAGAGCGAAGGCTGAATGGGCTGTGAAAACAGCTCCTCTGAGGTCCTAGGAAACAGCGAAAGGTTAGGACAGCACCACATGCAATTGGGCAGAGCATTATCGGACTCACATAGTTCGAATACCGAAAAAGCAAGCCAGCTCCCACTCTCCCCTCAGATGATGTTAAGAAGAGATGTCTAGGTTTGAAACAGATTATTTTCTCCTTTTGTTCGGATGTCAGTGGTTGTGTCCTGCATAGGAACAGGAACGGACCACCACTCGTTTATTTGCATCCAGGAAAGGGAAGGTAACTGATACGGGGAGGCTGGCAGCGATTGTATCCATGACAACCAGCAGATATGGCCTTGCTGCCTCGGCAGCTCATTCCCCATCACCTCCCCTGCCTTCCCAGGGCACAGCCCAGCTCTGACGGGTCCCTCTCCTCAAGGCACCTCTTGGCTGCGGTTCAGTGTTCCTGAGAGATAGGTGCAAAATTCACAAATTAAGCGCGTTTCCTGGAGCCAACAGCTCAATCAATTCTGCTAGCAAAACAATTCCCTGGCTTGAGCCGCGTCAGCTTCAGCCAGGGGCTCCCTGGGAGATGTTTCAGAAGCTCTGGCCCGTGGAGGAACAGAATGGTTTACAGTAATACCATGCAGAAGCAGGGTGAGCTTAGCAAGCTGGTAGTTTGCAGAACCAGCAGGCAAAATGCAATATATAGTGCAAGAGAAAAGAGTTTCAGATACACTAGACACCTTCAGAAATGCAGGTGAGCTGAGCAAGGTAGCATGATGCTGACCTTTGCAGGAAGTATCGGCAGAGGTTGAAGGTGTTCTATGAATAAGCCCTCAGTCTGCCCAAACCCCTTGCAGGGGAATGAGAGCTGCCTGGGCTGTGCTCCCCGGCTCTTCATCCCGCTGCCTGCTGTGGTGTAGTTGCTGCATTCCGACCGCTGCCTGGACCTGCCTTGGAAAACGCTGGCATTTGAGGCAGCTGCAATCACACACGGTGCTAAGGAACAGAAAGAAATCTGTCAGGAAAGCAAAACGCAGTTCTGCTGTTAAATGCAGCCAAAGTTTCTCATTTACAGGGCCCCTGCTTTATATCTTCAATGTGATGTTTGTACCACGCTAAGGAAAAATCTGTCCCTGGGATCAAAACAAGGTGATCTATCATCTCTTCCTTCGTAGTGGAAAAACAAAGCAGAAGAAGCAAGGAAATGAGACCGTGAATTGAGAGCTGGGGATTAGGAGACAGGACATGGAGTTCAAGTTCTACCCTGACAACCCATTGAAAACATGACTCAGTTTCCCCATTAGTACAGTGGGGATAACAATGAACTACGGAACTGATTAGTCAATCTTAAAAAATACAAAGAGGGTTGCTGTGAGCTCTAATTAAACGACTCTCTTAGCGTTAATGCAAAGCAGATTACACGAGTCTGGAAATTGTAGCAGGCATTTGGGACTCAGCCTTGCGAGTTCTCATGCCTGCGAGCTTTTTGCATTTCCTTATATGTGTAAAAGCAGCGTAGCATGAAGCAGGCAGTTAACAAGAGATGTTCCCTGCCTTCGGTAAAAAGAATGGAGATGGTGAGCTGTGGGAGCACTGGGTTACTCTGTGGTTAGGTGGAGAGTTGCTTGGGCAGCTTTGGGAATAACGAGGGAAAAATTGGATCTGGTAATGTGGATAAGGACCGGACTCGATACGTCCGCTTTGGAAGTGCTTCTTTGGGGATAAGTGGCTTAACGAATGTTGTCAGCCTCCCTGAAAGGAAAAACGCTACACACCAAAAGCCAGCCAGCTGGAGAGGCACAAATATCTACAGTTGTATTTGAGGAGGACTTGATGTTTTTAAAACTGCAGGATTTTGAATTTTCGGCAAATGCAATGCTGACAAGAGGGCCATCCAGCTGATCTGGAGTCTCTGTTTACCATCGCAGCAGCTCTCCCCAGCCTGCAACTGTCTCAGAAAAATGCCAGTATATTATGTTTTAATCACTGTATTTAGTCATGACAGTCACCCAAACAGCAGGCTCTGCTGTTCAACTCCAAAGAACACTCTTTGTACCCTGCTTTCAGGATAGGGGCTGCTTTTTATAGCTGTTCTTCAACTGGGAAATAAACCCTTGGGGAGACCACTACCTCATTTCTCTCACCCAAACATCCCGCCCTGGATTTATTTACCAGCAATTTCATGTGGCATGTTTCACGTTCTGTTAATTGGCTACGATTCAGCATTATCTGGTGCAGGAATTGAGGGAAGGTCACTCTGATAACAGCTTCTATCAGAAGACAGATGGCTTCTCTTTGAGTCCTGTAGCTGGGGACTGAGAGACCTTAGCTTGTCTACCCAGCATTGCTGCTGAATTGCTGTGGTATTACCTAGGCTTTTTGGGGGGTGTTAGTATAATTTTGAGGATACTATAGAGCTACCTCAGCAAAATCCTCTCCTAGCCTTTAATAGAAGTAGCTGCAGAGATGCAGGGAATAATCATGCACAAGTCATTTGTGGTCTTCCCGATATCTTTAATTTGTTGTTTTATTAAAAGAAGTGGGCAGGATAATTTGGTAGTTTTATTTAGGCGCAGTGGTACCCAAGGGTTTAGAGCCGTCTTTTTCTTCCAGAAGTCATTGCTCCATAAAGCTTCATAATTTCTGTCTTTTGTCAAGTTCATGGGCAGCCTGCCTGTCTTTCTGCTGTGAAATATGAAGGACTTTCTGCATCTCAGTGGACCTACCAGGGGATGGAAGCAGCAGCAGCGGCTCCTGTCTGCCTTCCCTCATGGAATTGCAATAGGCCTCACTCTGCCCTGCAGACGGTTCCTCTGGATATTGCCCATTAACCTTTCACTCAGACCTTGAAAATGAAGATTTGCTTTTCTGCTGCTTACTGTACCACCCTATAACTGCCACTTTCCAGCACTTCAAAATGAATTTATTTTATTTTTAATATTTTTTTTAGTGTTTATAATAACAGTCATGACCCAGGAGTCAGAAACTTCCCAGCCTGACTGAGGTTGCCCCCTCAGCTGCTGCAGGTAACTGCTCAGCACCTGATCCTGCCTGACCTCCATGCGTAACCCTCCTTGGAACTGGGAGGCATTTGGTGGGTCACCTAATGGGAAAATGGCCTTTGGGCCTGGCATTACGGCTTAAATATTCCCTGTGGGTTTGTCACCAGGGTGGGAAGCTCCAAGTGGACCAGGATGTGGTGTCCAAAGGTTGGATTCATGGGGCCTGGCGTTAAAGCACAGCAGGTGACAGAGTTGTGTCTCATTTTGTTCTGCTTCCAGAAAGGATGCAGAGAGCACCATCCTACCCTCGCCCCCCTCTGCATTCCTACCCCAGACCTGTCTGACGCGCGCGCAGAGCAGAAGGAAAGGGAGATGTGTTTTGCAAACAAATTAAGAAGGTAAATAGGATGCCGGTATTGACATCATCATGTTATTGATGCCATTTAAAGCAGGTTGCAGCAGCTGGAGGATGGATGTAACCAGACGGCACGCGGTGTACTAGGCAATAAGGGGAAATTATGGACAGCTTTGGAGCTGAATGAATAACTCGCCACAAGATCTGCTTCAGCTTGCTCCAACAGTAAGTGACATGAGTTTAATTGGCTATAACAGGACCTCACTTAGTACCAGTCGGGTGGATTTGTGTTATTTAATGCCTTCAGCTGGGGCTCCAACACTTATGGCACAGAGGGGGGCTCGGAGCACAGGACTCAGTGGCAGCAGTTCCCAGGCTTGGCTCCAGCACTTACTGTCACCGTGGGAATTTTTTACACTCAATTCCCCCACATGCAGAAAAGACGACAGCTCTAGCCCAAATCACAAGCAGGTCCTGATGCTGACTTACGGATTAGCTTCAAGTGCTGTGACGATTAACTGGAATTTTTCAAAGTGCTGGGCTTTGCTCCTAACTTGGCTCTTTTGGAGTTTGCTGCCCAATCTGAACAGGTTAAGGGCTCAGGGCTGCACAGCCCCGGCTTCCTGGGACAGCTGCCCTCAGAACGCAAACCCCCAGCTGTATGTGCTTTCACTTAGGCTCATTAAATATTTCCAGCCACACCTTGATGAAGTCAACCCTTGGCAATGCACCCTTTTAATTATTTTTTTTTGGGCAATTTTATAATGAAACATGAAAGCAGGGTGCTTTGGGGGTTGGTAAAAAGCGAGTAGAAGAAAACTTTTTCCTATTTGAGAAACCTAGCTGTGAATTATGAACACTGGTGGAGAAGGCACCTTTCCTCTGAGGCTCTCCAAACACCGTAGAAAGGTGGATGTGGTTTTTACCCCTATTTTGTAGGGAGGGGAGGAGGGAGCACAGCAGGCGATGGTGAGCAGCACATTGCACATCTCAAACTTGGCATCCGGATTTCCCAGCGCAGTTTCCTGCTTTAAGCAGCAATCTGAATTATGTCACCGCATTTATCCTCATCACCTCTTCTTCTGGTGACGCTGTGTGGCATTGCGTGTACAGCCACACAGCCGGACACTCCTAGAGGGGGAAAAAAGACTTCCCGAGGTGCGGAAGGGCTGGATGGCGGGTGCCAAGGGCGTTCAGGGCCATGGATGTTTGGTGCCAAGGGCGTTTGCGCTCACGGACGTTTGGTGCCATGGGTGTTTGTTGTTCAGGGGTTCTCGGTGCCTTGAGGATTCCCTCAGACACGATCGCGCAGTGACCCAGTACCCAACCAGCAGCGTTAAGACCTCTCTGCATCCGAAATTTTGAATTGCGCCGGGAAGGGTGCGGCTGGCGG